AAAGGACGCCTACGGAATGCCCAAGAAAATAGACATTGCAGACCACTGGGAGGCTCGCAGTGGTATTGCGCTGGCTTTCAACGCCATGACCAATGGATTCGATGGTGACGAGAGTGTCTCCTTCTTGCGATTCCTGATTGAGAAGGGTCCATTGCTCGACGGAAACTCCCGGGTCCGTGGCCAGATGACAGAGAGTGGTAAATCCATTATCATTTTGCGAGGAGAGTCAAAGGTCGAGGAGATGATGAATTTGCTGCAGACAACCTTGGAAACCTCTGATAAAGACACGAAGACCTCTGACCTGCTGAACGAGGCTGTGATCGTGTTATATGGATCTGTGGCCACACATCTCAAGGCGGATGATCCTCGATTGCAAACTGTTATCAGTGAACTGCTCGTGGCCCTTGACACCCCTTCAGAGTCTGTGCAGCACGCTGTGTCCGAGTGTCTGCCACCATTGATCAGGTCGTCTGGTTCCAAAACGGCAGAGTATGTGGAAAACCTAATCTACCGGCTTTTCAATGCCCCTGATTATCCTCGCCAACGCGGTGCTGCTTACGGTCTTGCTGCAGTCGTGTGTGGTAGGGGTGTCGCCACCCTGCGGGAGTACCGAATCATGAGCCAGCTCAAGGAGGCCGCTGAGAACAAAAAAGAAAAGGATCACCGCCGAGGCGCTTTGTTAGCTTACGAGCTTTTTGCCCTAGTTCTGGGGCGGACCTTTGAGCCCTATGTGATCCATCTCGTACCCCAGCTTCTGGCAGGATTTGGTGACACCAGCATTAGTGTCCGCGAGACTTGTCTAGAGGCTTCAAGGGCTTGCTTCCAGAACCTCAGCTCTTACGGTGTTAAAGAGATTCTCCCAACCCTGCTCGACGGCTTGGACGATACGCAATGGCGTAGTCAAAAGGGTGCTTGCGATCTGCTTGGAGCCATGGCCTACCTGGACCCGCAGCAGCTTGCAGCCAGCTTGCCTGACATCATTCCACCTTTGACGATTGTGCTCAATGACACCCACAAGGAAGTCCGTAGCGCAGCGAACCGCAGTCTTCAGCGCTTCGGCGAGGTTATCAGCAACCCCGAAGTGAAGAGCTTGGTTGGCGTACTTCTGAAGGCTTTGAGTGATCCGACTAAGCATACAGATGAGGCGCTGGATTCCTTGATCAAGGTTTCTTTCGCGCACTACCTCGACGCCCCCTCCCTGGCCCTTGTTGTGCGCATTCTCGAGCGTGGTCTTGGTGATCGATCTAATACCAAGCGGAAGTCAGCACAGATTATTGGCAGCTTGGCCCATCTCACAGAGCGCAAGGATCTTATCTCGCACTTGCCTATTATTGTGGCTGGTCTCAACTTGGCCATTGTCGATCCAGTTCCCACAACCCGTGCAACCGCCTCCAAGGCCCTTGGTTCACTCATCGAGAAACTCGGAGAGGACGCTCTGCCAGACCTCATTCCCAACCTTATGGGTACTCTCAAATCCGATACTGGTGCTGGTGACAGACTTGGATCTGCTCAAGCTCTTTCGGAGGTCCTTGCAGGTCTTGGTACGACTAGACTCGAGGAGACACTGCCAACTATTCTCCAGAACGTTTCCAGTGCCAAGCCTTCTGTTCGTGAGGGCTTCATGACCCTCTTCATCTTCTTGCCTGCTTGCTTCGGTAACAGCTTCGCCAACTACCTCAGCAAGATCATCCCCCCTATTCTTGCTGGTCTGGCTGACGATATTGAGGCTATTCGCGAGACCGCTCTCCGGGCTGGTCGTCTGCTTGTCAAGAACTTCGCCCACAAGGCCATTGATCTGTTGCTTCCCGAGCTGGAGCGTGGTCTTGCGGACGACAGCTACCGCATCCGTTTGAGTTCCGTCGAGCTTGTCGGCGATCTCCTGTTCAGTCTTACTGGTATTTCCGGCAAGCAGGAGGGAGATGAAGAGGAGGAGGAAGCCACTCAGGCTGGCCAATCCTTGTTGGAGGTCCTTGGAGCCGAGCGCAGGGATAAAGTTCTTTCGGCTCTGTACATCTGTCGCTGCGATACCTCAGGCCAGGTCAAGAGTGCGGCCTTGGGTGTCTGGAAGGCGCTTGTCGCCTCCCCAAGAACGCTCAAGGACATGGTTCCTACGCTGTCTCAGCTCATTATTCGCCGCCTCGGGTCCAGCAACATGGAGCAGAAGGTTATTGCCAGCAACGCTCTTGGAGACCTTATCAAGAAGGCTGGAGAGTCTGTGCTCAACACTTTGCTGCCCTTGCTTCAAGATGGTCTTCAGGCTTCGCCTGACGTGGAGGTCAAGCAAGGTATCTGTATTGCTCTCCGCGAGCTTATCAATGCCGCTTCCCCCGATGCGCTGGAGGACTATGAGGATATTCTCATCTCCACAGTGCGCGTGGCTCTGGTCGACAACGACGATGATGTCCGAGAAGCTGCTGCTGAGGCCTTCGATTCACTGCAGCAGATCATGGGCAAGCGAGTCGTAGACCAGGTCCTGCCTTACCTTCTTCACTTGTTGAGAAATGACGAGGATGCCGAGCAGGCGTTGTCAGCACTGTTGACGCTTCTCACAGAGCAGACTCGCGCCAATATTATCCTTCCCAACCTCATTCCCACGTTGCTCACGCCGCCAATTACTGCTTTCAACGCCAGAGCCCTCGCATCTCTGGCAGAAGTTGCTGGCTCTGCCATGACAAGGAGACTACCAACTATCCTCAACTCCCTTATGGACGGAATCATCGAGACTACCGACGAGGAGCTTCGAACAGAACTCAGCACTGCCTTCGACACCGTCCTGGTGTCTGTGGACGAGTACGATGGCCTGAGCGCCGCCATGAATGTGATGGTCAGTCTTGTCAAGCACGACGATCACCATCGTCGCGCTGCTGCGGCACTCCATCTTACCAAGTTCTTCGCGGAAGCCGACCTCGACTTCTCGAGATACTATCAAGACTTGATCCGCGCATTGCTGATCTCGTTCGACGACCCAGATGAGGATGTCGTCAAATCGGCATGGACAGCACTCACTGGTCTCATGTCTCACATGCGCAAGGAAGAGATGGAGAGCTTGGCTATTCCCACTCGCCAGATTCTGCGGCAGGTGGGTGTGGCTGGCGCGGACCTTCCCGGCTTCAGTCTGCCCAAGGGCATCATGGCTATCTTGCCGATCTTCTTGCAAGGTCTTCTCAACGGTACTACCGATCAGCGTACCCAGTCGGCTCTTGCAATGTCGGATATCATTGACCGGACTCGTGCCGAGTCATTGAAGCCTTTCGTGACTCAGATCACTGGTCCACTCATTCGTGTTGTGTCAGAGCGTTCAGTCGATATCAAGTGTAAGTCATGCGAAGCCTTTATGTGGTATCTATTTACTGAGTTGTTTTTCCAGGCGCTATCTTCTATACTCTTAACAAGCTGCTGGAGAAGATCCCGTTGGCTGTCAAGCCATTCTTGCCTCAGCTCCAGCGTACATTCGCCCGTGGTCTGGCCGACACGACAAGCGAGACTCTGCGCAACCGCGCTGCGAAGGGTCTTGGTATCTTGATTACGCTAACCCCCAGAGTTGATCCTCTTATTGCTGGTAAGTCGCAGCAGATTTTATACACTGGATGTAGGCTCAATGTAGGCTCATTGCTAACTTTTTCTCTCCAGAACTTATTGCTGGATCGAAGACCACCGACATTGGCGTGAAGAACGCCATGATGAAGGCTCTCCAGGAGGTGGTTGGTAAGGCTGGTGCCAACATGAGCGAGGCATCCCGCCAAGCGATCCTTGGCCTGATTGATGATGACGCTAGCGACCAGACCGGTAAGATCTTTATTAACAACTCCTGTATTCCACGGCTTTCTAACATGCTTGCAGATTCGGTTTCCATTACCAACGCTCGTCTGCTCGGTGCTCTCGTGAAGGTTCTCCCTACCGCAAGCTCGGTTCCTCTCATCAAGTATGCATAGTCATTCTCGTGGTTTAATTTTGCCGGATGCTAATATATCTCCTCGTAGGAACCGTATCCTTACTGGCTCCCTTTCTCATGCAGCGGTTCTCGGACTCAATGCACTTTTGGCTGAATGCCCTGAGGTTTTGACAGAACACTTCTCTGTGGAGCTACCAACCGTCATCTGCCAAGGTCTTGCGAACCAGGATGTAAGTGATTTGCTAAACCATCGACTATTGCTCAAGCTGACCCAAGAAAACAGTCCTTCGTCTCCGACAACAGCGCTCTTGCTGCAGGCAAATACCTCTTGTCCAACGATGGCGACCATGCTTTCGAGTCAAACAAGGCCGTCTTCGAGGCCTTGGCATCTGCCATCCAGGTCGGCAACCCGGTCGACACACGGCGGTTGAGCTTGGTAGTCATCCGGACTGTCAGCCGTCTTCATCCCGAGCTGGCCCGTCCTCATCTGGCTCTGCTCGCACCGCCCATCTTCGCTGGTGTCCGTGATCTGGTGATTCCCGTCAAGCTGGCCGCGGAGGCAGCATTCTTGTCCATCTTCTCGGTCGTTGAGTCTGACAGCGAGGTGTTTGACAAGTACATGGCTGGTCCCGGTGCATCTCTCCCGCCAGGCCCCAAGCGCAGCATGTCTGATTACTTCAAGCGCATTGCTGTTCGTTTGGCTAACCAGGCGCGTGAGCGTCGGGAAGCTGAAGGTGGTGAAGGTGGCTTGGGACTGTCGAATGATGAGCTAGATGATGAGAAGGAATTGTGGAGCATTGGCAAGGTTGATCTTGGAGAGGCCTTTGGCGATGAGTGATGATCTCTTTGTGCATCCAAGGAGCATCTAGATGTTTATAGATATACCCTTGGGTTTTATTTGCTTTAGTCGTACAAAAGTTATGCATATGTATGTTTTTGTATATTTTATATTGCGTCATTCTTCATCAATGGACAACCATCTACGGAGTACTAGACTGCTTTATACTGCAGATCACTCTATCCTAAATGGGCATGTATACCAGATCATGTGACACTGCTTGTCCTTCACGTCACGTGATAATGTTCGTTTTTTATCCATCTGTAATGAATGTCATGGCAAACAGCGAAAGAGAAAAATAAAATAAAATATCAAATTGCAATCCTCTTACTCTCCCAACATCTTCATTCCAACTTTTCCCAGTGTAAGTACTCTTGCTTTCCCCAGACTGCAAGATCTGGAAGTTCGATCATCCAGATTCGGACTAGCGCTAGGGCATACACCCTGGAGAAGTCCGCCCATTGTGGAAGGAGCACTCGCTTAGCCCTCGGCTGACCTAATCTGGCCCGCAGTGCCCTCTCAAACTCTCACCGTCGGGATTTCTCAGTGCCACGAACATCATCCGCCAACGACCGTCGATACGCCGACATCAAGATGTGAGTTCTATCTCCAAGTTATTGAAGTTCTCGAATGCACTCCCGTGTGCTGTGGAAATTCATGTCCAACGCCCAACTCGTGGACCCAATGTTTTCGTTACAATGGAGGAACAACTTCGTGATGTGTGTGCTATGATGCTGACCGGGTCTTTCATCACCACAGGGTCAACCTTACCACCCAGAAGCGCCTCGCCGCCTCCGTGGTCGGCTGCGGCAAGCGCAAGATTTGGCTCGACCCCAATGAGATGAACGAGATCTCCAACGCCAACTCTCGCCAGACCATCCGCAAGCTCGTCAGCGATGGCCTCATCATCCGCAAGCCCGTCACCATGCACTCCCGTGCCAGCGCCCGTGAGCTCAACGAGGCCCGCCGCAACGGCCGTCACCGCGGTCTGGGTAAGCGCAAGGGTACCAAGGATGCCCGTATGCCCAGGTACGAACACCACCACCATCGTCTTTTGTCTTCATCCGGCCTGTCTCGGACTCGCCGGGCGGAAATGGAACCGGGACACCGTTGCTGATGTTGCTTTTCTCTGTTTAGCCAAGTCCTCTGGATGCGCCGCATGCGTGTTCTCCGTCGTCTGCTCGTCCGCTACCGCGCCGCCGGCAAGATCGACAAGCACCTCTACCACGAGCTCTACCACCTGAGCAAGGGTAACACCTTCAAGCACAAGCGTGCCCTCGTCGAGCACGTAAGTTACAACCCGGATCAACCCTACGGATGACGATGGAATATGGGACATGAATTCTATGAATCCCATGAAACACGCAAAAAGGAACACACCCAGGCTGACTTGTTCTCTTTTCACCGCTACAGATCCAGAAGGCTAAGGCTGAGCGTGCACGCGACCGTGTCCTCAAGGAGGAGATGGATGCTAAGCGTGCCAAGAACAAGGCTCTCCGTGAGCGCCGGTTGGAGCGCAAGGAGGCCAAGCGCGAGGCTCTGATCAACGAGGAGTAAATCTGATACAAAAATTCAATTACCCTTCCGTTTGACGCTTTTCTTGCAATTCGGCGGTCCGGAGGTTGGAAATGGTTAACTTCTGGGTTGGATTCGGGATTCTAGGCTGTTCCCGTTATCGAACTCAGGTCGGCCTTCGGCGTCTTCCTATTAGTCTAGATTCTGTTACGACTTTCTCTCCTTCCCTTTGTTTTCTCTGATAGCATGGGGTTCGTGGCCTTATTGGATCTTTTTCGGAAAATATGGGGTATGGGAAATAGGAAGATGCGATGATGATGTGATACTCAAGCTATTCTTGTTAAAATGTAACGAGAAAGCAAAAGGAAATCTTTTTTTTACTTCACCCAAACCAAAGCAAAAGCCGCATCCTTGTTCCCGCTCCATATTCACTGCGCCTTTGTGGTATAAACCTGATATGCGGAGAAGCGGATCATGTCTGTTCGCTCTATAGGCCCGTGGATACCATTCCCTCGATGGTCTTGCTCGTATATTCCTAAGCTCCCGGTTTTTGCTGCTCGTTGTTATCATCTGATATGTTCTGTGGCTGCTCCCGGAGTAATCATGTCTATTTCGTGCGTTATGCAGACTTCATCTCCATGATTCCCATCCCCTTGGCAACTGCAGCCTGGATCAAGGCCCTGCAATGTAATTTATGGGTCTTGTGGCTACGCCACTGCTATTCTGGGGGTTTTGATCTAAAATGGCCTATCCACTCACTTCTAGTCTTAACAGCCCACTCAACCCACAGTACACAGTATTGACATGGACATGAGAAAATGGAGATTTGATTTTCTTAGTCTACTTTAAAATACCTGGTAGACATTTAATCAAAGATCTACATATGCGACCATAGTTGCATTGAAATATCTTTGCCGCTGAATATATATCCGCATCACATAAACCCACAACCATCTGACCATAAAAATCCATGACTAACAGGTCCATATCAGCTCGAAATGAAAGCATAGTGGAAATCTGTCAGTATATTTCGTAACTACATATGTAGAGATAAAATCCGAGTCCTTCCGCCCTCCCTTAAAATCGTACATATCAATATGACTCCAATGAACAACCCAGGCGCTCAACACCGAACTCGAGATAAGATATAAATGCATCCGAGGGGAATGCCAGTAAGCAAGCAAAATACACATATAGAAGAAAAGGAAAAGAGACACAGCATTCGTAAGATCTTGTCGTCGTAAACCAAAGCAAAGCCAAAAGAAACCAAGTGTATCGGTGTAAACGTATAGTATATCCAGGAAGCAAACCCAAACAAACAAAGAAGCGGGATTTCGCCATCTAAAAATTGATACCCCATGTAGTCGGGATCGAAGGAACAGAAGACCGGTGGTGAGCATTCGGCGGAGGCTCAAGATCAAGATCGAAGGGGTCACTGCGCATGCTATCGCGCATCATAGGTGTATCCGAGTACCCATTCGATACAGCGAGGGCATTTGCGCCCTCATGCTCGCAATCCCAGTACCCCTGCCCACTGACCCCGGCGCCCCGGGAAGAAGTGGAGTAGAGCGAGACCGAGCGAGATGGGGCTGAGATCTCGATGACTGCGGACGGCGGGTCCGCGAAGGGGTCCTGCGTTGTTGTCTCGCCGCGTAGGTACATGCTGTCCAGGGATAGGTCTGGATTCGAGAGCTGCGGTTGCAGCGGGATGACTGGGAGTATGGGTGGTTTTAGGCCGATGTTGCCTGGGATGGAGGGGTAGGAGTGGTGGCGGTGGTGGCTGATTGATGAGCTCGTTGAATCGCCTCGTATGAGTTTCTGTCTGATGCCCTGGCGCTCTGTAGCTCTTTTTCGTCGCCGCCGACGCATATAGAGTGCGCAAGCTAGCAGGGCGAACATCGTGATTGCTGATCCTCCGATGATGCTCCCAACTATCGTTCCGATTTTGGAGGATGTAGGGTTCGGATTGTCGGCTTGGGATGTTTTCGAAGAGTTATCGCTCGTGTTAGTTTCGATGGATGGTGAGATTGAAGGTGTGTTTGTTGCTGCCATGCTCGAGCTGGTTGATATACTGATGGAACTCATGGGGCTTACGGAGCTAGTGGCTGTCTCGGGAAAGACAGGCAGTGACGATGAAAGAGATATACCCGCGCTAGTTACTGGAATAGGTAGAATCCATATGCTACTAGGAGCATCAGAATGCCAGGAGTCATGGTCAGACGATTCCGAAGTTGCCGAAGTAGGAAAGTCCCCCATCGGGCTTGATGAAACTGAGGTTCTTGGGATCACTGTCGAAATTGGGGGCTCCGAGATAGCTGTTGCTGTAGAGCTGGGAGTCGATATTATGGTGTCCTGCTTAATTGTGGACAGCTTAGTCGTTGCCAGAGTCACGGTCACCTGGGGTTGGTTCACTGTTGACGATGGGAAGCCGAGCACAGTAGTTGTGGTACTGGAATCCAGTCCGGAGCCAGATATAGTGTAGACCCATGTAGGATAAATAGTCTCCGTCTCAATTGACGTGACTGTCACCAGATTGAAGGGTTCAGAGGATAAGGCTGTGGACCACGTCCCGATGAAGTTGCTGAGCGGTGCAGAAGGAGTGTCAATGGCGGAAAAAGTACTTGACATCTCGCCGCGAGCCCGCAGGGGGCACCAGTCGTTAAAAGGCAGATCTGATGATAATTGCCGAGTCCGTATTCGATGAATGTGACATGGGGACGGCGCAAAAGGATGGATCCCTTTATATGAGTGTTGGACAAAGTACAAAGTGACAAAGCGACCGACAAAGCAGTAGGCTTATCAAGTTGACTCTGATGGTTCATCCAAGACCCTTCTTTTTCTTGCTTTGTTGCTTGAAGTCTCGAGACAGCCACGAACATAATCCCGTGGTCAGGTTGGGATTCCATACAGTTCACGATTCATCGTCGTAGGGGCCCAAAAAGTGTATCATTTCAGACGCAAAGAGGTCGGAGGGATATATACAGAGAAAATTTTCTTTTCCCACAGAATTCGACAGGGGGGTTTTGTCTTTCATTTGTCTGGAACCCGGCGCTTCTTCTGATGGCTGGGTGGGAGGAACTCCTGTGACAGATGAACGGCGCTTAGCCCTCGGTCCAATAAGACCTTCAGGTGGTCGACGAATGGACGATCATCTCCAGAGAACATGAGAATTTCCATAATGTGACACTGGCTAACTTTTCTGCAAGCGCACAGTCTCGTCACCATTGCTCCCCAGGTAGGATTTGAGCGGGGAAGTGTATCACGGACGAAACAGGGCGGTTTCGGATTTGGTCAGAGATCCATTGGAATTTGGACTGATCCAACCTGAGGACTCCTTGAAGTTTCACGTTTTGCCTATTTTAACTGTGTCTTGCAGGTTTTGCAGGCTTTGCTGTTGGGAGTACTGTACCCTCGGCGAGGAATCGTAGCAATACCTCTTCTGGAAGAGTCATGTGACTATGTTCAAATGGATATATAAGACCACATATATATGAGGTTGGGATAATATAAGAGAATAGAAAGGAAAAGGGGGAAGAGATTACAGTAGAACGAAGTACGGAGTATGTACATGTACGGAGAGCGTGTGATAGCACTTCTACTCGGCAAGGACATTCCATCCTCATCTGTTGACCTGACGAATGTCCTGAATGTCCTGAAATTCCTGAATGCCCGAATGCAACGGATATAGGTCATTTCATAGATGGAAGGTCCTAGGGCGGTAGAATACATATCAGATCCAAAGTCGGAGACTCTGAAGGTCAAATGTTTCCGAATTCCCCACCTACAAAAGTCCCCTTTCATTCTTCTTCCTCTCTTTCAACATAAATCGTTTCTTTCAAATTTCAACTTCTCCGAACTTCTCTGTTTATTTATTTACCTCCCAACCATCTCAGTGTTTCTGCCTCTTTTGCCGTTCCGCCTTCCCGTTCCCCGTTCAGTTCCATGTGACCTTGGGCTTGGGCACTCGAACTCTACGATAATCGTGCATTTGCATTTGCATTAGATCTGTGATTGGAAATGTTTGGCTGGGGTTCTGGGCTGGGTAAGCAATCTGCCTTTTTGCTACCCCTCGATGCTTTTTCCCCTCCCCCGCTATACCCCCTTATACCACCCTGTGGCAAGTTGAAATGTCAACAAGTTCACTTGGGCCACGTTGGATTGGAGCGCCTGGATGTGGCCTAAAGTTCTATGCGACCTTAGATCTACTGTCCAGAACTGAACGATGGACGTATCACATTGACAGTCTCAGAAGCTAACACAACTTCGCGGTAGCCTTGCCTTCCGCCACTTCGGAGCCGGAGAAGGAACGCAGACCCCCCGCTGACCCGACACCTCTTGATTTCCCTGTCTACAACCTATCCAGTGTCCTCGAAAATGAGTCGGAGTCAAGACTCAAAGAGATGGCTGAGCTACTGGCCGACATCAAACGCCCACAGGACATCTGCGAGGAGCGCTTTAAGCCGTTGAACCTGCAATTGGAGGAAGGCGTCGAAGTCGCCCAGATGATCCCCGAAGACCACTCGCACCCCCTCGCCCCCTTGCCATGGGAAGATACCACTGAACCGACGGAAGACAACTCGCGACCGTTGATGGACAACGGAGCCCCGTATCCCTCGAAGGAACGATACGAAGTCCTGGAAAGAGAGCTGGCGTTAGATAATGACGACTCTTTCCGCGAGGTGGCTCGACTGCCGCCACGTGAGGGCCGCAGCCGGGTTCGTATAACGCAGTCGAGGAAGTTCTGGACGGGATTGGAGCGCATGGCTCAATACTGGGACACTAGCCTAGACCATTACTACGAGCGTCCGGCAACTCCCGATCCGACGCCCCCATCTGAGATGGAGCGGGCAGAGGATGGCGCGACTCAGATGGATGCTGAGGAGTCCAAGATCAGACACTCTCTGACAGATGATGCAATGGACCTGGATAATGCACAGGCAGCCGCACCTTCGAGCAACGGCATTGTTAGCGAGAGGCAGCGGCCCTCTGTCCCTGTATACACCGGCCGCCGAATTGGCAATGGGGCAGAAATGCCCGATGAAATACGCGATGAGACAATTCGAGCATTTGTGGAGATGGCCGCATGGCCATTCGGATGCCAGGTCACGGTCCCCACCCTCCAACCACGATTGACGACCAAGAACCTCCTGTTCCCTGTTCGGCAAACATTCCAGTCCTCACGGTCCCCGCGCGACCGCCAGATTGCGCGGAGCGGCATGCTCGAAGGCCCTGTTCTTATCTCACAGTGTCGGCCAGAGACGTCTTTCCGCACTGCGGACAATACCCCCGGAACCGGGATTGGCGACGTAAGTGATTTATTCCGCGAAGTGGGCGGCATGCTTCTCGCGGCACAAGAACGTGCCCGCGAAGGCGCAGTCGAGAAGCGACCCGGCGAGGGCAAATGGTGGACCATGCAGCCTCGCTTTGGTGGCGCGCCCAACGACGGGATCCTGGATGATCTCGTTAACCACGGGCACGGGATGTCCCTGCCGGATTCAATGATGGAAGAAAGCACGCCATCTGCCCAGGAGGCAGGAAGTGCTTCCAAACGTCATAAGTTCGAGCATCCATTCGTCACATCTCTCTCCCGGAGACCGAGTGCTATGCGCAGACTTACCACCAGTGAAAAGTGGAAGATTCTACAGCCTGGGCCTAGTCTTTGGGATAAGCGGATGAGCTATTTGCAGATAGGCAAGGTCCAGGAGAGTCCCTTTGACGATGTATGCATATCCTGCCCTTTTCGTTGACATTGAGTGTGGATGTTACGGGTAGATAGAGCTAACCCTCCATCTTTTTTCTTGCAGATTTACATGATCTCGTCTATCAACCACCACGTCTCAATCCTCCACCTCCGCGTCCATAAGCGGTATCTGGACATCCTCACCAACGGGGAAAGCACCTTCCCAGCCACCGAAGGCGAGCCATGGCATGTGCTGAAGCTGCAGAGGACTCGATGGTTCGACCTGTTTGATACCAACGACCGCATAGAAGCGCTGAAGGGTGTATGGCGACTATTCCACCACCAGCTGAGACAGACACGCCGCGAAGGCGACGTCCCAGTCCCGATAGAATTACCCTTAGAGCGTCCATTATAGAGCATGCATGATGGTGTCCGTGGGGACATGCTTTGACTCTCTGGCCTTGGCCTTTCTCAAGCGATGCATCTTGTACATACGGCGCAGCAATCTTCCGTTCTTTACCCATACCCATCTTCAATGACAGTAAATTACATTGACTCTTTACAATCTTGAATATATTACCACCTGGCGGGCTATTTATACCAGATACTAGGTGCTCTTTTATTTTCAGCTGGAAGATAATCGGACGGGTGATTTGGGGTCTCGTGCTGTGTTCTGATATAGCACGCAATGGTTCTATGGATGAGCTAGTTCAGAGACTTTCTCGCCCATTCAATAAATCTCTTGTTCTGCACTTATGGTGACTTATATACCATTACCAGCTACATTCTAGTACAACCCATCAGAAAATCCGCCTCATCCCAACCCTGGTACTTTCGTCAAAGCGAGACCTCCTGATCCTCATTCTATACGAAACCGCCACTTCTCACCATCATCTTCTAATGAAACCACCAAACTAACCGTGACAATTTCGGCAACCCATGACCTCACATAATCCCGATCAACAGATCTCGCCCGCCAAAAACGAAACTAGAAAAAGCGAGAGGGTTCCAGACCAGGCAGAAACCGACCCAAATGTGATATATCAACATGATGGCCCGTCTAAATCCTGCTTCGGTCTGTGTATGGCGTAGATGGTGGGAGAGTGGAGCGGAACTTGGCTAAGGGGCGCTGAGACCTTTTTTGGTGACATTTCCCGACCTTTTTTTCTTTGTATACATACTCCGTACAGAGTTGGATATATATGTAGTATACAATATACAATTTATATATAAAATATGTATATCCTAGCTAAAAATGTCTTCTGCTAATTCTAATGTATCTATCGTCAGGGAAGAGGAGAGGAGATATGTTTGGGGGACTCTCTCGGCTGTCTAAGCGGGTACATAGGCCACGTATATTTTGAAATACAGACTAATTTCTGAATTAACCACATGTTGTAGTATGTAACTAACTAGTTACTCCGTACTAGACGGAGGTACTTCTGTGACAGGGGATAAGGCTGGGTATGCGAAGTATTCAGGGTATAATATATGTACTCCGTGCATGGCTGAGATGGCTAGTCGCGTGTAGCAATGGATCTTCATTTGGCTTTTTGTTTTTGAGGGTCAACAGGTCTTAGTGTGGTGAGGTAGGAGCTGGTTGGACTTGAAAAGAGGGAAATATAAGCAGAAGAAGCAAGAATATGCAGAGGGACTTATCTGTTGATGGGGTTGGTTTGATGCTGCTTTCCGTGTATACGATGTGTTTTGAGCAGTATATACATCAGCCGATTGGGGTTATGGTGATGATACAACCGACATGTAGATATGTAATGCGGAGATATGTTTCTGAATGATAACCATCTCTTTTCCCATAACTGACCAATGCAAATCTTACAGGAAATGATCCTGAAATGTCCGAGCCACACCATTCAAGTCTACAATATTCCGTACAGTCTCCGTATTTTACCTATATAAATCCCACCATCCAATGAAACCACGAAGTCATCCTCCATCTCTCTTAGCCTCGCCCAATCAAACCCCGAGAACCCCCAAAACTTGGGTATCAACAACCGCCAGCTGCAAATCAGATCACATCACACATTGAAAACCATCGCGCTTGGTGCGCTTTGTTAAAACAAACCCAAATCTGGCATATGGCCCGCCTAGTAGATCTTTAGATTCTCGTACTAGTAGAGGTAAATAAACCCTGGCACGGAGAACCGCCCCAATGTGGACTAGTAAAAGTATAGGGTGTACCCGCTCTACTACAACCCACAAAGGCTATGCGGAGGCTGTCGAGATTGAAAATTGAAGACATTCGGGGTCCTCGGGGACCAAGTCAATGGATTAGGCTAGGGATGTAGGATGCACTCTTAAACAGGAGCTAACCCTTGAATAGGATATGAGTCAAAGGCGTGTAATAGTAAGTACAGAGCACAGAGTACATGCAGAGAGCTTCGAGCTCAGTAATATTCATGATAAGGAAAACCAAGATGAGATCAGAAATATACCAGTAACCCAGGAATGTGGTTGTCTGATCTCATAGATCGAAAAGTATGCAAGTCGCTTCTTCGAGATGGTGGGGGGTTGTGCCCGTGGACGCATGTTGTATATGTGTAAGTACCCCTGGAGGCTGACAACCTCAACTCAACCCTAGACTACTGCCTAATGGAGCAATACCTACATAAATATTCCATCCTCTGTACATAGGACCATGATTTGCGTGTGAATGATGTGCATAAAGTTGGTGTGATCCCAAAACGTCGGATTCGACTACGGGTAGGATAGTCGCGTTCGAAATCCTCGTCCTTCACGGCAAGGTACACAGCCGCGCTAAGAGGCTGTCGGCGGCCCGGCGGGTGGTTTAATTTGGTGTCGCACGAAGTACATTGCAGGTACTCTGTCCTCTGTACGAAGTATACGGTAGGAGACTTCTGACACTGGCCGGCGAGTTCGAAATCCAACTGGGCTCTCCTCTCCTGCCGGAAGGAAGATATTAGCTCACGGGACCAGAGTACTGGTTGGAATCTTGACTTTCTTGAATTTTGCTGGACGGTGGCTTAAGCCTCTGCAGGAGCACCGATCGGGATCAGACCGGTCTTGTTCAGCTTTTTGGTTTCGGTTTCCCTTGCATCTGGCGAACGGACCAGTGGTTCATGTGAGTTCGGTCTGGTATTTAAGCCTCAGATGTTTGTGTTGGACTGCTACTCAAGGGATGGTGCAGCGTAAGGAGGTTTGTTTTTCTTATGCATCTGGCCTGATCAAGCCTTGTTCTTGATGACCTTGCGGAGACAGTTTCGTTTGAGCTGGGCTGGCGGAATAGGTAAGTGAATTGCGACAGGATATGGCAAGTAGGGAGGGAGGGGTAAGAGAGTCCTCCATACTCAAAACTCAAAGACTCAACCATGGGATAGGTAGATCCCACTATGACCATATGGAACTGAACCCACGTGGGAGCGCCTCCAGCCGTGGCTTAGTGGCCAGGATTAGAAACGATCTTGATGTATCAGTTTCACAGGACACTGTGGCAACAGGAAAAAGGCGAGAGAGATCTCAACGGACGGTGAAAGTCTGTGTTGTACAATCTGTACACATCACATTTCCTCTTGTGGAGTGTGGTATGAAACCAAACCGTGTGGTGTATGCCGAGATAGGTGGAGAACGAATAAAACTGGATTCCAAATCGATTGGCAGGGACATATCGACATTTAAGATGAGCCCTGGCAGATTTGCGAATTTTCGTTTGCGATGCAGAGAAGCGGGTGGAGCCCCGATCGTGAAGAATCATGTCGTGTCCCGATGCAGAATTTCTGGATTCCATCTCGTTAATGTCAGCTAAGATGCTCACGAAGCGCGTCTAGGCTACCTGCATAACTGATCTTCCAATGTACAGTGACAGAATAATATGTCCAGCTACTATGGTAGAATGGAGGTGATCACATTTCAGCTGAGGCGGCACAACCCATCTGTGGCGAACGGATCACGCGCTTACATCGCCGACGAGGTCTAGTGATTTGAAATTTCCCTGGATCTTGAGATATCGTACTTCTCAATTCACTTACCAGTATTGTAGTGTTTCCGGCTTTTCAGCATTATGTACGAGGTGCGTATGTATATTTTTGATTATCTTCTAGAAATGTAAATCAGAATATACTCCGTAGAGTATTAGGAACCTACATTATGTATGATCTGTTTCTGGGTATAAGACAGAGAGAGTGACAGGCTGGGGTTGCGGTTGCAATCTGGGTATGGACTTTGTCTTTGGCGCGTGCCAACACTCCCTTTCTAGCCCTAGAGGCTATCCTTGCCCATCTGTATACCTCTCACCAGCCCTGTGATATTAAAGTTAGAGACAACCACGTCGATATGATATATTGTTGATGTTGTTGTAACACAGACATGTCTATGTATCTTGTTCCACCCCTATCTAGATACTGGAGGTGTAAACTGCATCGTGTTTACTGCCTACATATGCCAATTGCACATCAGAGTCTCAGTCCAATGCGAGAAACTCGACCTATTCCACGATCATTATGCAACCTTCCGTGTTGCCTCCCCTCGATATATGGGGGGATTTTCCAAGGGAGAAGATCGTCTGCGTCTTCCCCATATGGAGCCATTCCAATAGTCCTGTGAAGGTGACCCTCGGTGCTTATTGGATGTGAGCTAGGTCTGCTATATAAGTATTCGGACTCCGTATTTTCTCGGATGCCAATGTCTCATTACTTTGAATAGAAATTCGTGACTCTAATACAAGATACACCATACTTCTCAGTACTCAGTGTGTCGGTGGATAGGATGGAATATAATCTCGAGCCTGGCGTTGTGGTGCGAGACCAGGGACCGAGGCTCTGAGATACTTGATATTAGTATTGGGATCCGGGCTATTACATAGGTGTGATTAAAAGGCTGGACTTTGGGTTTCTTGATAGTGAATAATGTGATGTTGCGGCCGCCCCTTGCGTTCGCCATTGAATATCTAATGAGTCTCGAAACTCTGTTCCAGATATTTACATACTGCAATATGCATGGCGTAGTCACCACCTGCACGATGTAGGCCCGTGTTATTTTGGAGGCTAGGTCTATTTCTACGATGTAGTTAGGACCTCTAGAGCTCTGTTTGGGAGAAGCATTGGAACTCGACTGGCGATAGAATCCCTGCCTGGTACTTTTTCCCACTCCCCCTTTTCTACAAGCTAAAAAAAGACCACAGAATCTCGTCCCAATTCCCATGATACCCACTAAAATCAAGGCTTTGGGCTGCGACGCGTAGCCACAGATACGGAGAGTTAAATGTCGAAACCAATGCACCGCCCCGAACCCAACGGGCTAGTGGAAGGAGTGTGGAAACGGGAGAGCGACAGGGAAAATTAAACCTGGAAGACTGGATACTCCGTATGTTTGTCGACATTGAATGCTGAGTGGAAGGCCCGTGAGATCCATGTAACCCTGACAGCCCCTTAACGGTGGCAAGAACTTGTGATTCAACTGTCTACCAGTGGGACGTCTTGGAATTTGCAACGGACAAATTAAGGTATCATACTTGCATCATTGGAAGAATGGGCTTTTCTACTAAGCTTAGGTTCGGACTGTTTTTCATTCCGATTCTTAACTCAGATCTCGTTCATGCACGTCAAATCCCGTGGGATCCCTTGATAGAGGGGAGCATGTCTCGATGTTACGAAGGATTTGAATTAATCAATGAACACTTGATCAAACAAAGAAAATCATCGCCTAACAAAGTCTCGGCTCCACGCGGACCGAACACTATTGTACTGTAAGTAGCCCTAAAATGTGTATCTATCCATACTCCGGACACGGCCCACTGGTAGGCACCACGAGCTTGTACTCCACCATGATCCTTCAATCCTTCAGCTTGATTGTTAGCAGTTGAAGCGGGTGACTACACGGACAGGACATAAATTAAACGGCCAAAAGAAGCCAAGGAAATTTAAAAAAGGCAGGAATGCTAGGGCAACTCTGTGTTCTTGTGCCACTTCCAATCCGCGCGTTTGACTCGCTCAGAAGACCTCCGACTGGGGAACATTGTTGAGTCTTCTGTGGCACAGAGTCCTTGAGCTGCATCCTGATCAAGCCAGGGGTAAACTGTGCTACTGCCTAAGTTGGAAGGAAATGGGTGGATGAACGTGATTTGGGATTCGTTCGACACCAGGGCTCCAGCATGATATCACCGGACAAAAAGGACACTTGATTAAATGGGGTAATATGTCAATTCAATCCACTTCCTATAGACAAGAATAGTTTTCTGGAAGAAACCCCTGGAGCCCGTGGATGGTTCCCGTCGTCAACCATGGGCGGAGGGCGGGCGGGTAACCCCGAGCCCGATTTACTACGTCACGTATTTCTGGTATTTACAATTCTATTTCGCCTGTCCACCTTCCACGTTCGATATTGTATATTATGGTACAATATACAATTCCAAATTCACCGGTCGAAATGTCTTCCAAAGTGGATGCCCCCCAAACTGTATCTGGATTGACCGACAGTCCAATACGGAGTACACGGGGATGCCCAAAGCCCTGGGTTGCTGATCAGCCCCAACGACCATCTCCCTGGGAGCCACGGGATGGATAAGATATCCCTTCAAATGACGAGTGTGCTGCGGGGGGAGCTGGAAGTTTCCTTCGAACATCGCCCTGATTTGAGGATCGAATTGCAACAGAGTTTATGTTGACCTGATGTTGGAAAAACAAGCGCCCCTTGCGAGCTGTGTTTCCGAGTCTATGACCGAATCGACGGCCAGCGCGGCGTCTGTTATTGGGTGCTTGGGGGGTTGAAGAATATTTCGGTTTCGATGCGAGATACACCTTCATCATTGTTTCAGTTATACTTTCTATGTTCTTCCCCCTGTAGGGCAATCGTAGATTGGATGTGGACTGATCTGGATATCTGGCTCTAAGAGTACCGGAGTCCTGGGTACTGGGTCCGACACACCGGTCCCATTAGTATCATGTGAAACAGGAAAATGGGGAAAAAAATGGAATAAAAAATAGAAATAACCTCAAACACTGCTATTATTACACTCTATCCTTGAACTTTGCTCTGAGGCCCTCACCCTAAGCCATCCAAGCGTACAGAGTAGTCCAAACCAGTATACGGAGTACGTAACTCCCGAATCGACTTGCATGGCGCATTTCCCGGCGAAGCGGTTGACCTTCGGGCGGCAAGTTCGATCCCCGTTCCACGCGGAGGATCCTAAGCTTCGATCATAGCACTTACATAGTATCCTATGGTCTATAACATCTAGCCATGAGGTGTATCCCTACTCTCAATGTACGCAGACGCATCGCATATCGTATTCATATCCTGGAATGATAACAATACTAATTTCATTTCTGCAGAGCATCTCATATTTCCCCCCAGCCGCTGGACCCACTGCCCTGTTTAGGTTCAGTAAAAAAGAAACAAAAGCAGACCTGTCAACTGGAGGTATTGGAGTTTTGTGCTTCTTTCTCAGGGGTCTATATTGTTCTTATATAGGTGATAAATGGGTTAGGGAAGCCATTAAAGCCATTTAATATATTTTATTTTTATTTTTATTTTTATTTATTTCTTTTTGAATTCGAGGTATTTGATAGTCACCGCGATTCTAAAGAGTATTTGATCCAGGGAGGGGCAAACACACCTGTCGATCCCTACAGGCGTAATTATAACGGATTTATTATGTTATTATGTTATTACTTATGTTAGCCCCTCCCCAGTTGAGATTATTTCTTCCCTTTTGTCTTTTTTCTTTCCAAGGTTGTCTTTTCAATAACTGGGACCTTATACCTTTTCAAACTTGACATTGACCTTGAACTTGAAATCACCTTGGATCTACAATAAAGGTGTACTTCCGAGCCTTCCCCCACTCCAAGGTATTACCCAAAGCACAGGTACGTTATATTACAGTACCATACGTGACCGAGGTACCGCGTACCCCATGCGTATACTGGGTACATCAAATGTTCCCACTTGGAGCCTTGCAAGGTTCCAAGGTTCCAACTTGCACGGTGTTTTTCCCCTCCTTGTGGCCCAACCTTGTACTTCTGTTTGCGATCTATCTGATATACTGATATACCGGATACACTGATCTATCTTGACACCCTTTTTCTATTCCTTTTGATATTTCCATATATCAGCCTAACACGGGCCCCCTGGTCGGATCATCGCCGTAATCTGACTATTTCTTTGTCTAGCTCCACACTCGGTTGCCCACTGCGACATCGCCACCGCATTTTTTGCGACCTAGGAAACTCGGAGCTTTAGACACGCTATTTGATTCGCAGGCTTCTAACGGCGCGATCTGATTTCATTGTTACAACTTTCGCTCCTTCCGACATCAGATCCACCGATCCGCCATTCATTTGTTTCCTCTTATTACATCCTACATCCTCGACTTTAACTGAGAGCATCATGTCGGTTTGAGTCCCAATTTACCAAGCCGGATCGCTTCTCAACGGTAAAATTGGCCGCCCAAGATATACCTAGTGGCAAAGACCCGGGCTAGTTGCGACAAGACGACAAGAACACCGCGTCTCGAAGCTTCAAACACCTCCGCATACCCGGACCCCCCATTTAGAATGAATCGCATGCCTCCCCCGGAAGCGCACCACGCGCATGCGGGTCCGCATACATCATACGAGCCCTCATGGCGCCCTTCATACCCTCCAACTTTCGATAACCACGCCTCCGACTCCCGCCGCCCCTCCGCAAACCCCCAGACAGCTCTACCTCCACAGCCATCAGGATACCCCGTGATGCCCAACCGTGAGCTGCCACAGTTAACATCGGAAGGCCCGTATGGTCGTCCCAATGGCCATGGCCTGCCCCTGCATGCGCCCGTGCATTCCCCCCAGGACCCAATTCCCCCTCACCCGAACTTCCACCAGCCGATGAATGGCGCGCCGAACGAAGGCTCACCTGATTATCGCGCTCGTATGGGATATCCTCCCCCGGATCAGATTAACAGCGCTGAACATACACCCGTTTCGGGCGCTCTGCCTCCTGCTTCACAGTTCATGACGCCCGTCGCCCAAATGGCGAGTGCTACGCCGCCTGCCGGGTATGATCAGGCATTTTACCAAAACCAAACGTTTGGAGCACGCCAGCGTAAGGCAAATAGGGCTACGCAGGTATGTTAATCTAGCAGAACACAGGATTTTTTTGGGGGGGAATTTCTCACTAACACTCGAGCTATATAGGCTTGTGATCAATGCAGAGCTAGGAAAGCAAAGTGTGACGAGGGACGACCGAATTGCAGCCACTGTAAAGAGAACAATCTTGGCTGTGTCTACAAAGAGGTGCCACCGCACAAGCAAGAGAAAACTACTCAGCTGGTATTAGATCGACTCTCCCAGATAGAGAGCCGTATGGAGGAGCGAGCCAACCGCATCGATGAGCATCTCGCGAAATGGCGAGATCAAATGCAAGAGCAAATGCGCCTCAACCTGGCTAAAGAGACTAAACATCCACTTCCGACTGTCCAAGAACGTCCGGCCCTCCCACCACCACCGCCACCAGTCATCAAGCAGGACCCGCCTCTCAAAACAGAGATGCCCCAGACCCAGGCCTCACCTCCAAAAGCTTTTGACCCCGGGAGTCAGGATGTAGGCGCTTCGAACTTTGGGCCAAAGCTTCCACCCATGGACCCGAGGCTCGACCAGAAGGAGGCCGAGGGAGAGCTCTCCATCCCAGTAGAGCACACCACTGCAGCTCACAAGCTATTGATGTGGCCGTCAATTAAGAGGCTGCTACACCCTGAGAAATATGACGAGGGCTATGTGATGCGGCTGGAAGAAGAGCGTGGTCTCATCAGCATATACGGCCAAGGCGAGATCTCATACACTGCCGATGACAGTCAATTACTAATGGATGGCGACTCCAAAGGTGCCAGACCCGATGGGAATGGCGCAGGACCGGATGCCAATGTTGACATCGATGAATTTGGGAACATGAAGCTGGATGCTGCGACTGCTCAGCGCTACTATGAGAGCTACCTCGCGCACATGTTTAAGCTGCACCCATTCCTTATAGAAGGTGAACTTACAATCAAGGTCCGTAACTTCATCCGAAGCTATTGTCGCCCGAATAACTCACCACCGAGTTCGGCTTCCAATTACACACGACCAGCTCGTGATGGGCCGCCACCAGCCAAAAGGAGGCGGTCAAATGAAAACCTGGGTGTGCGTGGCGAGTTCATGGAGACTATCTCCAACCCGCTGCGGCCACGAGTCGGTAAAAATATTGACAACGCCCTGGTCCTGCTATGCCTGGCCCTCGGAGCTATTTGCGAAGCTCCTGCCCCTCTCCCTGGGCCTATCATGGACAAGAAGATTGACTATCTCAGCCAGCCTATTCCTGCTCCGCTGCCACCATTCGGCCCCCCGCCGGCTGCAAATGCGACATACATTACCAATGCCAATGGTGTGCTTTCCCCCGCAAACTCTGACTCGGCGGGCATACCGATGTCATTTTCGAATTCTCTTTATACCGTGCCAACTCAGCCTCCCAACCAATCTTTCCCCAGCAGTCCGTTCAACAAACGCATTGAAGGCCTGTCAAGGAGAGATGTGACAAACGTACGGGATGAGCAAGGGAACACGAGGAACTACCAGGTCATTCCTGGTCTGACTCTCTATGGATACGCGACCTCAATATTGGGCTATCTGCAGGGTGGCAATGAGCTAGAACATGTCCAATGCGGCTTGCTTGCTGGTCTTTATGCCGGCCAGTTGGCCCATCCTTTCCAGAGCCACAGTTGGATTTCTCAGGCCTCAAGGGCTTGCCAAGTTCTTGTGAGAACCAAGCGATATGAGCGGCTCGAAGAGGGGGCTACACAGGACTTGTACAACTTCGCTTACTGGACCTGTCTGCAACTAGAGAGCGACCTTCTCGCAGAGCTGGATATTCCAGCGAGTGGCATCTCCCGTTCCGAGGGTCGGATGGCTATTCCAAAAGGAAAATGGACTATCGTTCTACCGAACGATTTCACCGCACCCGAAACGATGATGATGCTGTTTTATTCTGCCCAAATTCATCTACGCAAAGTCTTGAATCGAGTTCATACAGACTTATATAAGGTCGAAAAGCAAGGCCAGACACGATGGTCGTCCACCGTTCAAGAGGCTCTAAGCCTAAACCTCGACCTCTGGCGCGACAGCCTACCACACAGCATGCGGTGGAGCGAAAATGATCCCCCAGCAGACGAAATCAACGCTGCTCGCATGCGTGCCAAATATTACGGTGCCCGGTATATTATCCACCGACCTCTTCTCTACCACGCACTGCATTACGGCTACACAGGTGCCCGCGTTGGTCCAGTCGGCCAGTCTTTAGTGGACTCGCCTACTTCGCAACAATTGTCCCCCTCCATCCAACACAGCGCGGCTCGGGCTCCGAGCATGGCGCGTATGTCGAGTGAAATGGGCTCCATGCCGGCCGCAATGTCCACTGACTGGCAGCCCCCTAAAGTCCGTTTCCACGAACTGCCGAAGAAGCTGCAATATGCCTGTGAGGTCTGCATTAGATCGGCTATCAAGAGCACGGAGGCTTTTGACGGTGTACGCGGACATCGGTTGGTCGTTACCAACATCTTCGGCACTGCCCATGCGTGAGGAAACCTCTGACCCCGTTTCAAGGAATCGCGGATGTAGAGACAACGCTAACATAATTCTTTCCCAGGCAATTCGGCAATATGCTCGTCCTATCTGCAACTTATATGTCAAGTCTGAAAGAGCTTGTCGATCGAGACCAACTCGATCGCCTCCTCGTTCGCACCATTGGCTTCCTCATTCAAAGCGAAAATATATCCCCCACCCTCCGCGCTGATGCTCGCATTCTCAGTGAGATCTACAAGAAGATCTTCGATCGTCCTCCTGACTTGCAGCAAGCTACCAAAGTGACCAGCCAGACTCCCAGTCTGAGTAGTCACACTCCAAGCCTGAGCAGTCACACTCCAAGCCTGAGCAGTCACACTCCAAGCCTGAGCAGTCAAACCACCAGCATGAGCTTCCCTTAAATGTGCATCTAGCGTCTGAGTTCTTTTTTTTGTCCCGTTCCTGTGGGAGTCGCAACCCGATATCTGATATCCATATTCTTATGAACACATCATGCATGTCCCTGTCCCTTTAAGCCCGAGCCCATCCGCGCTCGACATCTGTTATCTGTCTGTCATCTATACCTTGTGCACTATACAGTTCTTTTCATTGATTCCCCGACCCTATCTAATTCAACACTCGGTACTCGTGCATCTGAGACAATATCAGATCACACGGGTTTTCCACGCGGTGATTGATTGGTGTGGCTTATTTTCATGCGGCGAACCCTTGCCTATTCTTCCATTGCCTCTCCCAAGGTAATGACTGGGTTGGCTTTGACTCGTGAACTTTTTTTGTCTCTCTCTTTTACTCCTGTTTTTGGGTTGAAAGCATTTCTTGGTTTCAACGGTCTGTCCCTGCGGAGATACGTCTCGGGAATGGAGTTATTGTGTCCTGTGTGGTTATTGTCCTACATTGCATGCATCTCAAGTCATACACGTCTGTTGGCTTTTCATTTTGGATACTCCTAAAATATGCCAGCCTATTTCTGTTGATTTGGCCACGCCATATCATTTTCATATTCAATGCAAAGGTTTGTATTTCGTGGATGGCTTTTGGTGTTTTGAATCATACTTTATCGTCAATGTGGGCTGTATTGGGTTTTATTTGCTGTAGTGTTTATTTTCAGTAGTTTATACGATTGAACAGGACAAAGATCAATTGAGTTGAAGCCTGACCGTGTGGTTAAACTAGGAATGGAGGCTTTAGGGTTTCATGCACAAGCTTCCAAGGTTTGAAGTACCGGACCAAGATGGTGCTTTGTGGGCCATTCCGCCTCCACAGATTCAGCTCCCATGGTTTCATCAGGGCTGGCCATTATCAAACCAAACTTATTCAAAGTCTAATTGGAATATATCAGACGATAATATGCCTAAATATGAACATATTATTACTGACAACCACAAAATGCAAGCGGCTCGCGGACCTCGGCTTCCCCGCATTGTGCTGATCGAGAGTTATATAATTTAGAGACACGGGTCAGCTTAGTTACTATGTGTCCCTGGATATGGTGGATCAAGAAAATCTTCTGCTATCTTTCAGGTCCGCTCTCCAATCTTAGATATCTGGTCGAACTCGGCAGAACTCCAACCCAGACATGGCGCCAAACGCAAGAAAATGGCCCTCAAGAGAAGGTATTGACCCCGATCCCTATAACAACTAGTCAATGCTAACAAACAACATCAGGATTTACAGCTGATGTACTGGGCAAATTCATATCCCGAAGTCTCCTAGACCCCTGGAAGTTACTTCCCATTGTTGCCCTGGCCCAATACACAGCCCAAGGCCGTGATATTGCCAAAGCGCGCCCTAATCTCTACAAGGCGCTCAAAGCCCTAACAGCCCTAGCGCTCGTCAACCGGCTAAACAACTGGCTCGACCGTCGCATGCTAAACAACAGCCTCAGCGACACATACGACTGGAACCGCGAAGTCGCAATCCTAACAGGCGGCAGCAACGGGATCGGCCGACGCATCGCCGAGCTGCTCGGCGCGCGCACTATCAAAGTCGCCATCCTGGACATCGCCCCGCCAGCGACCGACGATGTGCTACCGAATAGCGTGCGGTATTACGAATGCGACGTAACCTCTGCAACCAATATCGCAGACGTAGCGTCCAAAATTCGCAACTCATTCGGCCGACCCAGCATCCTAATCAACAACGCAGGCATCTGCACCGGCAAAACGATACTCAAAACAACCCCAGCCCAGACGCGCTGCATGTTCGAAGTCAACACGCTCGCGCACTACTGGCTCGCGCAGGAGTTCCTGCCCGATATGATCGAGGCCAACCATGGTATGGTTGTTACTGTTGCTTCGCTGGCTGGATACACCGTCACGCCTAATATGGTCGATTACTCGGCCTCCAAGGCTGCAGCTATTGCGTTCCATGAGGGACTCGCTGCTGAGCTAGTTACGCGGTATCATGCGCCTAAGGTTCGAACTGTGCTTGTTACTCAGGGTTTTACGAAAACAAATCTTATCAAGGATTTGACCCCTGAGGATACTTGGATGACTCCCCTGCTTCACCCTGAGACTGTTGCTGAGGAGCTGGTTAAGCAGGTGCTTAAAGCTGAGAGTGGGCATGTTGTTGTTCCTGAATCTGCTGGATGGATTGCAAGAAAATTTAGGGGGCAGCCTGAATGGTTACAGCATTCGCTGAGGTGTAGGTTGGAGAAGTTGATGAGAGCTGATTAGGGTTGCGGGTTACATGTACTAGTTGGACTTGGGTTGCTCTTTATTAATACTCGAGTGGTATTATGACGGTATGTTTTTGCTATTATTTGGTATGTTGATGCAAATACTGCTCTATGATCGTCAATGACAGGAGATTGGACATACTGTGTTTTTGTTAGCTAGTACAGTTAGCATGTGATTGTTGTTCTTATATAGGTGTCAAGGCATAGTCTGTACCGAGAAATATAGAGTAGTTAAGTTTGGACCAAACATTGACTTTTCTAGATGTATATCTAAGGTACTCCGCACTGTAGCCGCTGTACTCCGTACTTGTATACATTTGTAGATGGCTGGGATGTGACGAAATGGTCCCAGCCCCATATTGGTCTGTGCACGATGCTTCACCGCGATTTTGATTCGCTCCACTCGTTGCACCGACAGTTCATCAGCGCTGTGAATCACATTTTTCACTGTCGCATTTTTTTCAGCAGATCGTCTGCATCTCATCTAACCCCTCAACACACAGATCCTATCTGATACTCGACAAAACAAGAGAACAAGGTGAGGTTAAGCGCCACAGGTTCAAGTTAAGATCCACTGGGGGCCTTTCCCGGGTGCGAGATCCACGGCTCAGCTCCGTTGTTTACTCCCCCAAACAAAGCCATAACATTGCATTCTCTCAGACAACTAACACTTCCCCTCCCCATACCTTTCCCCCCATTCCAATCCTTACATTCCTTTAATACCACATGGTTCACTCCGGCTATCCCAATTAATTGCCCACCATGTTCAAAGCCCTGATGGGCGGGGGCCGCTCGTCGTCCTCATCCGATGTTCGCAGCAGTTCCAAGAGCAGCCGGCGCAAGTCTGAAAAGCCCGAAATATCCGACACAAGATCGATCTCAAGTCGCAAGTCCTCACGGGGTGACGACCGTGACCGTGGCCTGGGTGATTTGTCGTCTTATTCGCCGTCTGCTTCTCGCAGTAAGCGTGGCCCACCTAGCATTGCCGGCGACTCCGTCGCATCAACCTATGTGACCGCCGAGCCAGAAGCGATTGAAGACTCCGACCGCTACTATATTGAACGCACACCAAAACGCAGGGACAGTGAACGAGAAAGTAAGAGTTCTCGTCGGCGCGACCAGGACCGACCCGAAAGTCCAGAGAGAAGGAGCCGCCGAGGGACACAGGATACTCTGGACGATGACTTGGATCGGGAGAGCGACCGTCGCGAGCGTCGTCGCACCCAGTCCGGGGATCCGTATGTGCCGCCCCCGATCTCCACAAACATGCCGTCTAGCACCCCCGGCGCGCAGTTTGCCGCCGAGATTGGCGCCCCGGGATTCTCGCAATTCCCCATGCAATACGACGCTGGGATGCCATCTGCAGGCCATTCGCCAGCGCATGGAGTTCCATATGACGCGCACGTGCAGCAACAATTCCCGGGCCAGTTCCCAGAGCAAGTTGCTGCACCGTACCGGCCGCCCAACCCCGCCGGCGCTGCGGCAGACTATTATGGTGACCAAGGCCAGTCTGTTGAGCATCAGCCAGGTGTTCGACCGGCTCGCCCAAGTGTGCTTCCTAACACCCAAGCACACTTAATGGCAGCATCTCCATCGGCTAACCCACCACCAGAGCCTAGTAGCCTTGGCGCGACTGGTGCGGCGGCGGCCTATTTCGACGATGATTTCCATGCCCCGACACAACAAGACCAGCCGCCGGCAGTGTCTTCATCGCAACCCCCAAAACCGTCTAAGCCTTCGAAACCTTCTTCATCGGGCGTCCTTCCCGCTGCCGCTGTTGGAGCTGCCGCTTATGGCATTGGTGGTATGATGTCTCACTCTGAGTCGCATTCCCCTCCGCAGCACACAACTTCGTATACCCAGCAGGGCCAGCCAGTGGTACACGGCCAGCCGACGGTACTTAACCAGCCAACGGAGTACGATCAGCCGATGGCAAGCAGCAGCCACAAACCTCCCACCAAGCCGTCCCATTCTCATAGCTTCAGTGAAGGTGTCGGTATTGCGGCTGCAGGTGCTGCAACGGGATACATGATGGGTCATCACCATCACTCCCCCAGCCCCGAACACGCACCGCAATACGCTTTCCAGCACCACGAGCAGTCTTCTCAGGTTGGTGGTATGCTACCGTATGCCCCTGGCCATAATAATGCTCTGTATGTTGCAGGCGCGGGAGGATATGCTGCTCATGCTGCGCACAACCCAGGCTTCTATCCTCATGGACCCAGCGCGCTAGTTTTCCAAGAGCGTCAGCGTGGTGCCATGGAAAGATTCGTTGATTTCTGGCGTGACCCTGAGGCCGTTGGAAGATTCGAGGACTACACGGAAACCATCGGCGTGTGCAAATACTGTTTCCAACCTGGCACAAGCTCTGTCGATGCTCCTCGCAAGCACCATTATCACCGCCGCCGCCGACACTCTCCCGATCGGCGGAGCAGTGGTAGCTCCAGAGTCAGCAAAATCAGCCGATACAACTCCTCCGAGGATGAGAGTCGTCGACGGCCAAAGTCCAAGAAATCTTCCTCGTGGCTGCCTGGCATGCTAGCCGGTTATGCGGCCAAGTCGCTCTTCTCAAGTAAGGAGTTTGACGATTCTTACAGCCTTCGCTCCGGCCGAGTCGCGTCCTCCCATGGGGAAGAAGACGACCGAAGGAGCTATACTTCTCGTGGTGTGATCCGTCGTACTGGCCGCAGTCCCCACAGAGACCACCACGCAGACTCCAAGTATGCATCTCAATCTGGATATTCTCGGCGCACACGCTCACGATCGCGGTCTTCCTCTCGATCGGGCCGGCATTCGTACCTGAAGGAGGCCGCACTCGGTGCCGCAGTGGGTGGGGCTGCGCTGGCTGTTGCAAAGTCACGTAACCGCTCCCGCAGTAGTTCTCCTGGAAGAGGACATCACCGAAAGGATTCATCCTCATCATCCTCCTTCGACAATCTTCCCAAGCCTGGCAAGAAGTCCATCGCTGGCGGTATCGGGTCTTTCTTCACTGCTTCTTCCGAGAACAAGAAGAAACGTCATACCAAGAAGCGAAGCGGTTTCTTCTCTTTCAAGACTGGGTCTTCATCCTCTTCATTGGACAATGATCTTGCCTTCGGAGATGGGTTTTCGAGGAAGTCCTCCAAGCTCAAGAAGAAGAGTAAGAAGGGTAAAGATGTCGATGCAGCGTTGCTTGAGCTTAGCGACACGGCAACCCGTTTGGCTGGCTCCTCACCCCACGGTCACGGGCGCAGTGCAGGCCAGATGTACAAAGCTCGATCTCGAAAGTCTAACTACGCCCAATCTACGACGAATGATGAAGAATGGGTCGACGCCGAGTCGGAGGACCAGTCTTCTTCCAGTGTTAGCTCTGCGCTGGCGTTTGGAGGAAGCGCTGACTCCTCCGACTCCGCTAGCAGCAAATGGGGCTGGAGATGGGGAAGCAAGAAGGATAAGAAGAAGAAGGACAAGCGGTCGAGTGCTACAAATGCCGCTCTGGTAGCTGGCGCTGGCGCTATTGGAGCCGCTGCAATTTCTTCTGCTCGTCACCGGGATAGCGACCCCCCAAGTAGGTCTGGGAGCCTGCAACACGTTTACCCAATGCCTACTTCCGACCCCTCTCGTTTTGATGTTGCGAAGATGTCCCCGGCGGTATCTGCCGGGGAACCAACTCTCATCCGCCCGGGACCCATTCCCCTTCAGCAGCCTCAGCCTTTCACCCCCGTCTCCCAATCAGTATACACTACCCAGGGAGCTGTTCCGGGATCGATTCCCGTATATAGCGCCCCGGCCGTCCCACCCCTCTTCGCCAATGGCGTTGAACACTTCGACTCGCAGTTGCAAGGCCCTCGTGGTGCTGCATGGGCACCAGCAGAATCAACATACACCGAGCGCCGGAAAGCTCCTCGACGCAGTGATTCCTCTCCTGTTTTCCCCACCCAGGAAACTGCTTCCAGTCTCAAGCGTCGGTCCACCGCTAAAGATCAAGCCTCCGTGCAATTCAACTTGACGGAAGAGCAAGCAGAGAGGGAACGCCACCTTACTCGTCGTGACAAGAACTACCGGGATGAATTTGCCGATCGACCAGTTCAACTGATTGATCGAGAAGGAGAGCTGGCCCGCCAAGAACCTGAGCGCCGAGAGAGCCGCCGAAAGGAGCGCGATGATGAGGAGCGCCGGTATGCCGGCGACAGAGGAAAGGACTCCTCGTCCTGGGTTGGTGCAGCAGCTGCTGGAGCTGTTGGCGCTGCCGCTGCGAGCACCATTCTCTCTCGCAAGACAGACGATGACGAGGCCTCTGAAGCCAGCCAGCGATACAATGAACGCCGAGAGAAACGTCGCGCCGAGCGAAAACATGATACCGATGCAGTGGCGCATACTTCGATCGTGTCGCGATCCGAGCCCACTCAGCCTATTGATGAAGAAGTGACCACGGCGGAACACCGCGAAGACCAGAAGAAAGGGTCTCCTCGATCTCCCCGTCCACCACAGGTTTACGACGATTACGCAGAATTTTATGCCCCTGAGGAGATACGACACAGCCCAGATGAGCATGCTCGCAGCCGCGGCTCCACTAATGTGCCAACCATTGTGGAGGTAGAGCCCGCTAGCGAACGACGTACACACGAGGAGCCTGCACCTACAGAGGTAGACTATTCATATGAACCCTATCAACATGTGGATCGCCTCCCGTGGCCAGTCCCCGGGCTCAACTTCATTGAGCCAACTCCTCCTCAGAGCGTGAACGGTGGTTCTGTTCGCGACGCTACCTCCCCAACTGCCCCTGTAAATAAATCTTATGATACCAAGCCTCGCGAACGACCGACCGGCTCCCGTGTCTCCTGGGGCGAACATGAAACTCACGAATACGAGATCCCCTCTTCTTCTGAACAGGATCCTCTTGAGCATGATATTTCCCCTACCGAAATTTCCGCCAAGGATGTTCCTCTCCCGGCGTCCGAAATATCACAATCCAAGGATATCCCCGGCGCATCGGGGTATGGTGCCGACATTGAATTCGCGGCCACAATTGCTGCCGCGACCGCTGCAGCTGGGTTCGATCCCTCCCTGGTCACAGACGACCCATCCTACCACACCCGCACTTCCCCTCCTGGGTCGGAGGACGAGCACACATTTACCTCACCCTGGTCCGCATCAGCTCGGAAAGAGCCCCGCGGCTTCGTCGAGGGCGAGCTCGAAGAAATTGATCCCAAGTCTACTAAGGGTATCACTTCCACTCCTGGGAGCGTGGTCCAGGACAAGGATGAGCTATTCTTCGACGAGCCGGAATCCTTCTCAAGAGATCGGGATGGACGCCGCGACAAGTCCTCGATTGCCCAGGAGGTCATCGAACAGCTGAATGGCAAATATGGCAAGCGCGACCGTACCGCTTCCCCTGAAGAAGACCTAGATGTCTTCTCGATGCCTGGTGGCTTTGACACAGCTGAACCTAGGGACTTGGTTGATAGTAGATCCGCCGTCTCGGCGCCGGCGCCGGTTGCTATGGACCCAGAGACCCCCACCAAGTCCGAGTCGAAGAAGTCGAGGCGGAGTGGCGATGTCTTCGATCTCCCCGAGTTCCAAGAACGAGAACTCGCTGAGTCTTCTGTCTTGAAGGATGAGACATCGAAGTCCCGCAAGTCCCGGCGCAGCGGCGAGGACTTCGAGATTTACGACTCACGGGAGGTGTCTCCATCTCAGGATAACTCTTATTCTGTTGTCTCCGCTCCTGTCTCGAAGGACGAAACATCCAAGTCTAAGTCCAGGAAATCCAGGAGGAGTGGTGATGACTTCGGCGTTGCTGAATACCCGGAGTCAGCGGTTGCCACGTCTCGTGACGATTCTTTCTCTGTTATCTCTGCCCCTGTTTCGAAGGACGAGACATCCAAGTCTAAGTCCCGCAAATCTCGACGGAGCGGCGATGACTTCGAGATCTACGAGTCACGCGAGCCATCTGAATCTCGGGATGACACCCGCTCGGTTAGCTCTACTCCTGCCAGCAAAGAGTACGAGTCATCGAAGTCCGGGAGATCCAGACGCAGTGGAGATGATTTCGATCTGCGTCGCGATGCTGAAGCCGCCCCTGACGACGCGGAAGGTGGCGAGGAGAAGAAGAGACGTCGCAAGCGTCGATCTAAGCACGAAACTGACACCTTCTCTGTTGATGACGATGCTCGCTCCGCGATTACGGACATTAGAGATGACAATTCTGAGCGTCGCAAGCATCGCCACCGCTCATCCCGGGAAACCGGCTTTGATGACAACGCCTCGATAATCTCTTCTCCAGCTCGGATTGATGAATCCCGGGAGAAGCACCGAGGCAAGGACGAAAAGGAGAAGAGCGGTGGCTTTTTGCGAGGTATCTTTGGCTCACAAGTGTCGGCCCCAACCGGGCGCGTGCGGTCTGACCATTCTCGCTCTTCCTCGTTGGATAAGCGCTCATCCCGCGAAGCCATATCTGAAGTTGGTTTGGATGACGAACGCCGACGCCATAAGAAGCGTTCTTCAAAGCACCGCAGCTCCAGCAATGGGGATGAGTTGGACCGCTACATGTCGGACAGGGAGAGGGGCACTCAAGATGACACGAACCTGGAGGAGTACAGGTCCAGTAGACAGCAAAAGGAAGAGCGGCGTCGTCATCGGTACGAGGAAATCGTGGATTCAGGAAGGAGACGGGAATCTGAGAAGGTATAGCATCTGAACTTTTCTTTTTACTTATGTTGTGATTTTGGTTGTACACTTTATTGTCCCATATAGTTTCCCTTTTTCGCTGGTTGATCTGACTAGCTTGCACAAAAACCACAAAACCTGAACAGAAAAAGAAATGTACTAAGCTTTTATTGGTTTTATTCCATGTGCAGGACGGATATAGTGACAACTTCGACGATCAATCTTTTTTAAGGAAGCGCCCTGAAATTCTAGCAGCGGATGAGCGCGAAGACTATGGTGCTTCGTGGTTTCCAGCATCAGCCGATAGCGCAGCTATTGTCGCTGCAGCATGGGGACTGAATGAAATTCCGCAGCAGAGGCCCCGGAGCCAATCCACCTCTCCTCCGGCCACAGAGAGGACACTCGACCTGACCCCAAAGTCTCTGAGCCGCCCCGCTTCACCTGAAACAAGCTACCCTCAGGGGTCCCGATCCCCCAAGCAACGCCGACACTCCGTGGCCAAGTCCACCACTGAATCACCCACAGCTGTGCCTCTCCACTTCCGTCGGCCCCCAACTTCCCCAGGCCTCTCGCGCGCAGTCCCTGTTGAACAAGCCGCCCCCATCGCCTCCCCAGGTTCACCAAGCCAGCAGCGCAACCGCCGGCCCGGGTCAGTCGAGTTCCGAAACTCGCGTGAGATTCGCCCTCTATGGCTCGTCGAGCGCCACAGTTTGATCAAGGGTGAGCCCGAGATCGAGGAGCCATTGCCATCGCTCCCATCCAGCAAGACCTCCTCCCGGGTCCCGTCAATCGAGGATCTAAAATCCCTCCGCGACGACGAGGGCCTCAAGAGCTGGGAGCATGTGGATCTGAGTCACTCAATCACAGGGAACCAGCGACCGACCGGTCTGACAATTTCAACTGATCAAGCGAACGAAAGCCATGATAGAGATCTCGAGCTCCTCGGCTCGCAGCAGGCCACGCCTACCGCTGAACACTTCCAGGATGCAGAGTCCAGGAAGGAGAGGCCAAGATACGAATTCCACTCTCCGTCTGAGCTCCTGCGGGACCCCACTGCTTTGGACGAGCTGCCTCCTTCACCTACGCTGGACGCCCTGCCTTCTGCAGAGGGCTCCCTCGTTGGCGTCGGTTCTAGGGAGCAAGAAACGCAGCGTGCACTTGACGCTCTCGAAGGTGTGTCCCGGCCTCAGCCTGATCCGGAAGCTCCAACGCAAGAGAACATGTTCTTCAGCGGCACTGCGGACTTCGCCAAGGGGGTTGGTTTCGCTGGTGTCGTCGATGCCGCTGCCATTGCCGCTGCCAGGGAGCATGATCAGTCTCGCTCGCCTGCAGATGAACAAGCCAAGGCCCATGGCTTCAGCGATGTTGTCGATGCAGCGGTTGCCGCTGATGGTCTCTCGCGCGACCATGACAAGGCACCCCTCTATGAGGAGGCGCTCAGTGAGCCCGTTACTGCCACCGAGGAGACTGCTCCCGCTGCGCTTGAGCCTGCGCACCCAGAGATGGACGCAGCTAGGCGATTTGTTCCTGAATCGACTGAACAGCCTGTTCTCTCTTCTGATCTTCAGGCTCAACCTGAGACAGAAGTCGTTCCCGATGAGAGCGCTACCAAACCTTCTAAAAAGAAGAACAAGAAGAAGGGCAAGAAGAACCAGGCCCAAGATGCGGATCAGGGAGCCCTCGAGGAACCGCTCGCGCAGGAAGATTCGTCCAAGGAGTCAGTGCAACACCCTACTGTGGGCACGCCTATGGTTGAAGTTGTTTCTGCTGAGCCCGAGGTCGCTGTTCCCGAGCAATCTGAGTCGGTTGAGGCATCCCGTGAGCTTGGACCCGAGATTGAGGTTGATGAGCCTGTGGTCAAATCTGCTCCTGTCGAGTCGGCACCTATCGAGAGCGCTCCTGTTGAACCCGAGGCTGCTATTCCCGAGCAACCTGAGGCTGAGCCTATCGAGGCCTCCCGTGAGGTTGAGACTAAGCCTTTGGTTGAAGCAGTTCAAGAACCAGAAGTTGTCACCGCCCCCGAGCCCGAGCCTATTCAGGCACTGCCTGCCGCAACCGAACAAGCTGAGGATACTGCATCATCGACTACAAAGGCTAAGCGCGGCAAGAAGAAACTGAAGAAGAAATCTAAAAACGCATCGACTTCTGAAGAGCCTGAAGATGATACGGCCGTTGCTCAGCATCAGGATGATACTTCGGCCTCCAAGGAGACTAAAGGACAACAAGAAGACAACGCGCCTGCGCCTGCCGACGAGATTGTGGGTAGGCTGTTGCCGGGGGATATTGCTATTTCTACGGAATCCACCGAGAACACCTCTGACCAGACTGCGATCTCATCTGCTGCCACCGATGCAGAGCAAGCTCAAAGCCAGCCTGAATCCGGTGAGCTGGTTGAACCTGTGGAACAGGTATCTACTGAGGAATCAGTTCTACCTGTTTCCGAAGATCCCAGCCTCCCCATTGGGCAACAGCAGACCACGGAGCCTGATTTCACCGATGCCAGTGAAACACCAATTACCGGTGCCACTCACACAGAAGCGGAGGAAGTATCCCGCACCCTGGAAGAGATTCAGAAGCCAACTGAAGACTCTACCCCAGAGGTCTCTCCTGATGACACCACGCCTGAAATTACTGAAACACCAAAAGAAGAAACCGAAGGTGAAGACAACTTCGAGGAGGCTGTCGAAGAACAGATTCCACAGCCCGCCGAAGAAAAGGAGCCTACACCAAAGCCTCCCATTGAAGTGGCTACAGATGCCCCCGCAGAGGCGTCGGAAACAAAGGCGGAGAAGCGGAAAAACAAGAAAAAGAAGAATCGCAAATCCGCTGCTGTCGAAGAAACTGAGATTTCCGCTGAAACGCCCGCTCCCGACACTGAATTGCATCCAGAAAGCAAAGAGCTGGAACCTGAGCAATCAGCCATTGTCGAACCTGCGGATACCCAATCCCCTCCAATTGGCGGTGAAGCCTTACTTTCTGATCCTGAACATGTTGAACAGCGTTCCAAGGATGTTGAGCAGCCCTTCGAAACCGCCATCGCGGCGCTCGCAATTACCCAGGAGCAGGAGCAAATTCCATTGGAGGCTGCTGGGGACGCAACACCTGCTATGACCGAGCCAGTGGATCCCGCGGGGCCATCCGATGAACTGTCACAGCCAGCTGGCATCGAGGCCCAGCCTGACGCTGAACTCCCTGCTGAGCAGGCTTCTCGCGAAATTTCAGAGCCTTCTGCCGTTGAGTCTCAACATGAAGCTGAATTTCAAGCGGAACCTCAACTTGAAGTTGCAGCCGAGCCTGAAGTCGCCTTGACTGCGGCCCAGAAGAAGAAGGCTAAGAAAAATAAGAAGAAGGGCAAACAGAGTGAATCTTCCATTCCTGACGAGAAGCCTGCTGAGTCTACCTCGCCGGCACCTGAACTTGAGTCTGCCGCTGAGGAGATACCCAAGGAAACCCTTCTTGCCACCGAAGACGCACCGGTGGATGCGCCTCCTCAAGAAAGCGAGATGGAGCTGCCTGTCAACGTCGAACAATCGCTTGAGCCTGAGCAACTCCCTAAGCCTGGGCAAATTTCAGAGGTTTTGCCGGCCCAGGAAGAAGCTTCTTCTGAGCCTCTTCCGGAACCAACGGCAGAGGTAGCAGAGGCAGAGGCACCCAAAGAAGAGTCCATCGCACCGGAGGAGGAGCCCAAAGCAGAAGAATCTCCTGCCGAACCAGAGGTCACTATGACCGCCGCGGAGAGGAAGAAGGCCAAAAAAATGAAAAAGAAGCAGCAAAAGCAAGAGGAAGAAAGCATTGGCTCCATTTCTGAAGATATCAAGCCCGTCGAGACTGTGCCTGTGCCCGATGCCGAATCCGCCGAGCCAAGCAAGGATATTACGCCTCCCACGGAAATTGATAATGTTGCTCTAGCGGACTTCTCTGCGCCGGTGTCTTCCGAACCTGGTGAGACTGAACAGGATGTTGCGCCTACGTCTACAAACGAGCCGGAATCAGCCCCAGTCACTGAAGATACTCTTCTGCCAACCGATACTCAGACTATCGAGCCAAACAAAGACATCGAGCCTCCCGCTGAGGCTGAGCTCCCGGTAGAAAATGCTGCCCCATCATCCGAAATCGAGATAACCGAAGTTATCGCCGATGCTCCACTTGTCTCGGAAGAAGCCACCGCTTCTAGCGATAGGCCTCAAGACCTTAACAAACAGGACGATGTGGTTAAGGCGGAGGAGTCGAAGAGCGAGGATGTGACTCCAGCGCCCACAGAAGAGGCCTTGGCTGATGCTTCAGAGACCGATGCCTCCAAAGCACAAGAACAGTCTCCCGAACCCGAGGTTCCAATGACCGCTGCTGAGAGGAAGAAGGCGAAGAAAAACAAGAAGAAGCAGCAAAAGCAAGAGTCTGCACAGCTTGATGAGCGGCCCACGCGTGAGGCAGAGCCTACTTCTACCGAGGAAAAGAATGCTGAACAATCTGGTGACATTTTGCCTAAGGGTGAGCCCACAGCACCCAAGACAGAGCGTGACGTGGAAGCAGAGACCAGACCTGAAAAGGAACAAGCTCAGGATATGCCAATTCTCGACGCCGAACATGCTCTCGAGGCACCGGCAGAGGAGGCCATTCCTACGCTGAAGATTGCTGCACAAGGTCTTGATGTTCAAGGTGAGGACAAAGAAACCGCCCCGGAGCCTACAGCTGAAGTTCCTGCTTCCACGGAAGGCCTCCAGGAAGAACAAAGGCTTGATTCAGCCGTCAGCGAGGAGCCCGCTTTAGACAAGTGTCTCGGTGACAAGCCCACAGAGTCCGCAGCAGAGCCAGTTGTGGAGGAGACACAGCCAACGGAGTCCACAGCAAGTCCAGTGGAGCAGGATGAAGATGAACAGGCCGCAACCTCTTCCAAGTCGAAGAAAAAGAAGAATAAGAAGAAGCGCCAATCAGCTGCCGCTGAAGAGGAGCAGCTTGCACCGGCCGAGGAAGAAGTTAAGCTTGCACCTACCGAACAGGAGCCGACACCTGTGCCTGCTGAAAATGAACCCACCGAACCCGCGCCATCTCAAGGGCTTGAACAGCTTTCTCCCGATAAAGATGCGGATACTCCTATGGTGACAGAAGAGGCGCCGAAGGCTGAAGAGCCCGTCACGGAAGAGACCACACAGCCAAAGGCCACTGCCGATACAGCCGATAAAGCCGCCACCGAGGCCGCTGAAGAGGCATTAATGACTCCTGCTCAGAAACGGAAGGCTAAGAAAGATAAGAAAAAGCGCCAATCAGTTGCCGTTGAAGAGGAGCAGCCTACAACTGCTGAGTCCAAGGCCGTCCCTGTCGAGGAAGAGGTCAAGCCTGCACTTGCCGAAGATGAACCTACACCTGTGCCGGCTGAGGGCAAACCCGCCGAAACCACGCCATCTCAAGAACTTGAAGAACCCTCTCCTGATAAAGATGCGGAAATTCCCATTGTGGCGCAAGAGGCGCCCAAGGCCGAAGAAACCACGCAGCCAGAGGCCCCTGCCGATGCAGCTACCACCGAAGCTGCTGAAGAGGCACCAATGACTCCTGCTCAAAAGAGGAAGGCCAAGAAAGATAAGAAAAAGCTCCAATCAGTTGTTGCCGAAGAGGAACAGTCTGTGCCTGTTGAGGAGCCTGTGCCTGTTGAGGAGCCCAAGCCTGAACTAGCCGAGGAAAAGGTCACACCTACACCAGCCGAAGAGGATCCCACGCCTGAATCCGTTCAGCAAGAGCTTGCTGAGCCTATGCCGACCCAGGAAATCGAACAGCCCACTGTCGAAAAAGACGTGGAGACTATTATGACAGATGAGGCGCCCAAGGCCGAAGAGACCACGCAGCCAGAAGCCCCTGCCGATGTAGCTGTCACCGAAGCTGCTGAAGAGGCATCAATGACTACTGCTCAGAAGAGGAAGGCCAAGAAAGACAAGAAAAAGCGCCAATCAGTGATCGCTGAAGAGGAACAACCTACGGCTGTTGAGGAGCCCAAGCCTGAATCCGCCCAGGAAGAGCCCACTAAGGCTGAGTCGACCCAGGAGACCGAACATCCGACTGTGGACAAGGATGCGCAGACTCCTTTCATGACAGAGGAAGCACCTAAGGCCGAAGAACCGTCTCCGGAAGAGGCCACGCAGCCAGAAGGCCCTGCTGATACAGCCGCTGCCGAGGCCGCGGCTGAGACCGCTGCGGAGGAGGCAATGACTCCTGCCCAGAAAAAGAAGGCCAAGAAAGACAAGAAAAAGCGTCAATCAGTTGTCACCGAAGAGGAACAACCTACGGCTGTTGAGGAGCCCAAGCCTGAATCCGCTCAGGAAGAGCCCACAGAGCCTGAGTCTACCCAGGAAGTCGAACAGTCCACTGTCGACAGAGATGCGCAGGCTCCTATCATAACAGAAGAAGAAGCACCCAAGGCGGAAGAACGCTCTCTCGAAGAGGTCACCCAGCAGGATGCCCCTGCTGATGCAGCTGCTACCGAGGCCGCTGCAGAGGAGGCAATGACACCCGCCCAGAAAAAGAAGGCCAAGAAAGACAAGAAAAAGCAACGCAAGTCTGTTGCTTTTGACGACGATGCCGCCCTGACTGAAGAGCCCAAGCCAGAGCAAGATTTATCTGCACCTGAAGATAAGGTTGAATCTCGGGATGCTCTGGCTGACTTGGTTAGATCGGAGGAATCAGCCAAGGAGTTGCCAGTGACTGAAGAAGCCGCTGAACCTGCTACTGAAGGGGAAGTCTTGGAGAAGATAGAAGAGCCGGCTATCTCTGAAGAAAGCAAGGAGATTACGGAGCATGAGCCAACCTCAACTGATGCACCTGATACCCCCATTCCTGCTGAAGTCAAGCAGCCAGAGTCCGCAGTGGATTTGCCAGAGCAGCCGAAACAAGATGCTCAGACTTCCCCAGAGTCGCCGAGCGCACAAGAGCCCGAAGTTGCCTTGACTGCGGCACAGAGGAAGAAGGCGAAGAAAAATAAGAAGAAGGGCAAGTCTGTGGGCTTAGCCGACAACGCCCCTGCGACCACAGACGCAGTGCAGGAATCTGAACATAAATCTGAGCCTATTGTTCAAGCTTCCACCGATGCTCCAGCTGAGACCCCGGGGTTGCAAAGTACTCCAGCCTCTGAGCTAGCGCAGCCCGCAGAAGACCTCGAGCAAGAAAATACCATCGAGCCCGAGCCTCCCAAGGCCGAGGAACTAGAGACAACAGAAGCCGTATCCGCCGATGTGCTGAAAGAAGGAACCCCTGACGCCAAGGAGACCGACAACGAACCTCCGGCGACTGAAGCGATTCTCGATGCCGAGCCAACTCCCCCCCAGGAAGCAGGGGCGATTGCCCCTTCTCCTGTCGAGCCGACCGAAGAGGCTGGCATGTCAGCCAAGGAGCGACGCAAAGCTGCCAAGAAAGCGAAGAAACGCCAGTCTAAGAATGCCGACGCCGATAACGACGCCGCAACATCCGATTCGCCTTCTGCCCCGGGAACCGAGCCTGCCACACCCATTGAAGCGGCCGACAGCGTTGAAAAGGTCCTGACTTGTACGGACACAGACGCCCCTGGACTTTCAGTCGTACCGGCGTCCTCGCCTGCAGAACATGACGGTAAAGAATATCAGTCCCACGGCATAGAAACTTACGACGCCACGGCGCAAGATACGACCTCGACTGATAAATACATGTCTTCGCAGGTAGAGCAGACGCCGATAGAGAGTCCTTTTTTAGATTATCCTCCCCAGCCCGTGCTTGAGCGTTCAGTTTATTCCGGCGAGTTGGTGGAGGCAAATGCTCAGCAGGAGGGTGATCGTGCCCCTACTGCACCGGAGCGAGAAGGGGAGTTGGTTGAGCCTGAACCCCTTGAGGAAATGAAGCCAGTTGGTGATCATGAGAATATTGAAGAGAAATCGTCTGTGCCGGAAGCAGGCGACCTCTCCGCGGAGAAAGAGATTGAAGGGACGCCTGTGGATGTGCCAATTGATGTTGTTCCTGGGGCACAGATACAAGAATCTCTTGTGGAGGAAAAAGCTTCTGAGACGGCTGTTTCGAAAAAGCAGAAGAAGAAAAACAAAAACAAAAATAAAAAACAAGAGGAGGACGCTGCAGCAACTGAGTCTGTGAGCTCTACTACAGAGGACAAGGAGCAGCCGGAAGCTGCGCCTTCGGTCGAGGCCGAGCTCCAGCCGGAGGCAAAGGAAATCATTGAGCCTGAGCCCATTGCTGAGGCCGAACGAGTGCCAGTTCCGGAGGAGCAACCGGCAGACCACCTGCAGGACATTGAAGAGAGTGCCGCTGTCCAGACAACCAAGGACGTTGATGATAGCAATCAGATCAGTGTCCCAGAAGCCGAGGCCGCTGCTCCTCCTACCGAAGAGATCACGCAGCCAGACGCCCCTGCCGATGCAGCTGCCACTGAGGCCACTGAAGATGCATCAATGACCCCTGCTCAGAAGCGGAAGGCCAAGAAGGACAAGAAGAAGCAACGACAATCAATTATTGCTCAAGAACCCGAAGCTGAGCCCCATTCTCAGGAACAGGCAACACCCGAGGTGGCTGAGACTTCTGCCCAACAGGCTGAGATTGGAACGGAGTTAGCCCCCGCCGAAATTGTCATGCAAGATGACGCTGTTACTAGCGCCGAGGAGTCCACGGTGAAGCCTATTGATGCCACCCAGGAGGCCGCCAAGGATCTTGTAACGCCCTTTGAAGACACTGAACAACATGTTCCAAGTCAAGAACTTGAAGGCGGAGAGGGTCTTCTTGGACTTCTTTCAACTGAAGCGAAGATTGAGGAAGGAGACAAGCCGGCTGAGGAAGCTGCCAAAACCCCGGCGGAGATCCCAGATGACGAGCAAGCTCGCGAACAAGCGCCGCCTGAAGCCGGCCCTGAGCCCGAAGTGGAATCGGCGACTATTACCAAAAAGATGAGCAAGAAAGAGAAAAAGAAGGCCGCCGCTCTTCTCGAGAAAGAAAAACTCGTCGAGTCACAACCTGAACCTGGGGAGGTCCCGACCATCACTCCCCAAGCTCTAGAGGAAATGGTTGAACAACTTACGGTTCGAGAGCCGCAACCTTCGGAGACTGAAGTCAAGCCTCGGCCTGAGGCAGAATTGCCACCTTCAGAGTTGAAAGAAGATGCCCCGGAGCAGCCTGTCGAGGCTCTCCATTCTACCGAGCCTCTCGAATCCGAGGTCAAACCGGAGGAATCTACAAAAGAGCTAGCCGAAGAGCCAGCTGCGGCCGATACTATAACTCGGAAAGTGTCAAAGAAGGACAAGAAAAAGGCCAAAAAGCAAGCCCAACAAGAAGTAATTCAGCCGGCTTCCCCTCCGAACGAGGATCATGCTCCTACCACCGAGCCTGCAACTGCAGAGGCTGTTCTCGAACCGGAGACCACTATTGAGGTCCCAACTGAACTTGTTCCTACCACCCAGCCCGCAACTACGGAGGCTGCCATCGAACCGGCAGCGACTGTTGAAGAGACCCCAACCGAGACTGTTCCTGAGGCTGAGTCGATTGCCCCGGAAGAATCCCAAGAGGCTCCCAAGCCCGAGCCTGAAAGCATCGAAAACCCGGCTCTTGAGGGTTTTTGCACCGTATCGGAAGGCAAACAACCTCCAGAAAGCGAGAAAAATGAAGCAGTCGTTTCTCTGGACACACTCGATACGCCCTCGCCCGAGGAATCCACTGACCAAGATACCAACAATGAGCCCCTTGACCTCGAGAGTCCTACAGAGAAGAACGACAAAGAAGATAAAGCTCGTGTTGTGGCCGATTCACGGGATCTTCAGAACGCAACTGATCTCGAGGTCGTCAAGGGCCTCGCTGAGGATCAACCTAGAAAACCTGAAGTGATGCCGGCTCTATCCAAGAAGATGTTAAAGAAGGACAAGCGCAAGGCCAAGAAGAATGCTGGCATCACAGGAGGAGTCTCGATTCAGCAACAGCAAGAAGAGCCTCAGGCTGACGTGGCTGAGTTGCCCACGGAATCTGAGGTCCGGCCGACAGAGCCTGCTGTGGAGGACGAGATTCACAAGGAACCTGAACACGCTTCAGAAGCTCAACCTGCATTGGAGCAAGAGCCCCCGATTGATACTTCCATTCTGGAGCCTATACCCGACCCAGAAGTTCAGGTTGAGCCTACGCAACCCAATGAAGAGCTCGTCGTCAGCGACGAACTTCCTCTTTCACGCAAGGCCTCGAAGAAGAAGGCCAAAAAGGCCCAAAAGGTCAACAAATCCCTGCATACTGAGACACTGGCTGAAAACGCAATCGATGCGGATCAGCATGCTACCATTGTGCCGTTTGAAGAGGACCAATCCAAGGCACAGGACCTAGAAGTACCAGACGAAAAGTCGGCCCATAACGAAGAAGACTGGCCAGCAATTGATTGGCAGTCCAAGTTTGAAGAATCCCAGCGATTAAGGGAAGCGGACCCTGAACATGAGCCGGACATTCCACCTCCAGAGCCGGAGATTATCGGAGAATTTGTTGATACTTCCTTCCCCGAAGTTCCACAAGATGCAAACGAAGCTGCGGAGGAAGATGCTCTGGCTTTGCCAGCGATCAAAAAAGAGAAGGCCAACAAGAACAAGAAGCAGTCACAGCAACCTGCTCCGGAAGCCGAGGGGCCTTCACTGGAACCCTTCAACGAAAAAGAGATCGAGCCACCTGCCCGAACAACTACCCCCGGTGGATCTAAGATTGCCAACTTATTTCCCGGCCTCGAGCGTGGGGGCTTCCGGCGATCAGCTTTGGACCAGCGAACACCGTCGCTAAAAGATAGTGCTGAGGAGGAGACAACAGCGGACTTGGAAGCGAATCGCGATGTCGCGATCCCTGTCTCGGAAGCACCCCTAGCGACCACTGAAACCAAAGAAATTGCCGATGATTTCACCTCGGAGCTGCCCAGCTGCCTCGAAAGACAAATTGAGTCTACAATCTCGGAGCTGAAAGCTCACTCCGAAACTCCTACTGCTACAGAGGATGGATCAATCAGAGAGCCAGAACTTCCGACGTATGGCGAAAAATCTATGGATGCGCCATTGTCATTGTCAATGGAGCCCTCCGATGAGCGGACTCGTACCACTGAACCTTCTTCTCCTACGCGCCTTCCACCCCAGGCGGAAACTGGAAATGAACTGTGTGAATTACGTCGATCACCATCAATCCATGGAGAGCACCAGCACACACCCAGAACCTGGAGCTTGGAAGAACCATCTCTACAAGCTCTTCGTGCCCCTTCCCCTCCTCGGTCGCTCTTCGGAGGACCGACCGACGATTATGTGCGACCCCGGACTCCGCTTGATACAATCGCGGAACAAGAACCACGGGATGGCCAGGGACCGACCATGGCTCGTCGCGGGACGCCCCGCCTGGAGATGAAGCCCGAACATGTCCTACCTCGACCTCAGACACCCGTCCGGAAATTTACAGACAATGCCTTTGACCGAGAATCTTGGCCTAAAGAGGACAAAAAAGGCGAGGGTTTTAAATCCGAGATTCTAAAAACGCCTGAGCAAGGGATGCCAATTCTGAAGCCCAGCACCAGCAGCGGAAAATTACGTCGTGCAAATCGCAGTATTAGTGGCGATCTGCGGGCGGCTAGTCGAGCGCTAGATTCCCAGCCTTCGAATCTCGATCTCGATCAGCTCCCGTCTTCCTCCTCTTACGACCCCGTCACCGACAAGGGCAAACGTCCGGTGCGAAATATGTCGGATGTCTATGTAAGTTATTAATTTATTGCTTTTTATTTGCCATTGTTTGCTGTTGTTTTGCCATTGTTGTTTTGTTTTTGTTTACTAACTTCCACAGGAGGGATGGGGCGAGACGCCCAGTTCCCCGCGGTCGCCCAGCCGACCGCCTAGTGTCCGCCGCCGTCGCAGCATGCAACATTTGCAAGATATCGAAACCCGTCTCGACCAGCTCATCTCTGAAAATCGTCTACTGATCGCCGCCCGCGATGAAGCCGAAGATAAGCTTCGGAATACCAGTGTCGCTCGTCGCAAGAGCGACCGTGCGCTCAACACCCGCGACGGCGATCTGCGCGATCGGGAATCGGAGGTGGAACAACTGAAGAACTCGGTGGAATGGCTGCAGAAGGAGATAACTCGTCTGACCCAAGAGAACGAGGGGCTCACCGCATCTAACTCTGCTCTCGCCGCCGCCCACGAAGCCGAGGTCAACTCCGTACGCGAGTCGTCCACACGCGAACTTGCCGACTTGCAGTTGCAACATACTCAACTCTCGTCCCAGATGGAGGATCGAGTTCGACAAGAGATTGAGTCGTCTCTTGCACAAAAAGACATTGAATTGCGCCGTCTGCGCACCGAACTTGAGGAGGCTCGTGATAAGGTGAAGGAGCTCCAACAACAAATTGCGGCCTCGGTACATGACAACGCCCTTGTCTTCCGCGATGAAGAGTACTTCGATGCTGCCTGCCAGAAGCTGTGTGGCCATGTCCAATCTTGGGTCGTGCGCTTCTCTAAGCACAATGATAAACGGCGCTGCCGCCCACTCAGTGAACTGCAGGACGAAAAAATCGCAGACCGTTTCGACAATGCTCTCCTTGACGGCTCCGATCCGGATGCCTACCTCTCTGATCGTGTCCGCCGCCGCGATGTCTTCATGTCGGTGGTCATGACAATGGTCTGGGAATACATCTTCACCCGTTATCTCTTCGGCATGGACCGGGAGCAACGTCAAAAACTCAAGTCTCTTGAGAAACAATTGGGCGAGGTTGGCCCAACCCGTGCTGTGCATCGCTGGCGAGCCACCACTCTCACACTGCTGTCCCGGCGACCAGCCTTTGCTGCGCAACGTGAGAGCGATACAGAGGCTGTTACTCTGGAGATCTTCCAAACCCTATCGCGGATCCTCCCTCCTCCGTCTCATGTTGAATCCCAGCTCCTAGATAACCTCCGCAAGATCATGCGGGTAGCAGTCAACCTATCCTTGGAGATGCGCACCCAGCTGGCTGAATTTATCATGCTGCCACCTCTACAGCCTGAATATGATACGAATGGCGATCTTGCACGCCAAGTGTACTTCAACGCAGCCCTGATGAACGAGCGCAGTGGTCTGACAAACGACAACGCCGAGCTCGAAGCCCAGCAGTCCATTGTGCGCATTGTGCTCTTCCCTCTTGTTGTCAAAAAGGGCAATGATGTGGGTGAGGGTGATGACGAGGTTGTCGTCTGCCCTGCCCAGGTCCTCATTGCCCGCCCCAGCAAAGACAAGAAAGTATCAAGGATGATGAGCGGCGATCGCATGTCCATCGATGCTTCCAGGTCGGTCCACAGCATTGCTCAAAGTATTGCCCACAGTGTGGCACCGTCATCTATGATGGACATGAGCAATGTGATCTGAGGCGTCACACTCCGATCATGATTGCTCCCATCTTTACATGCCTGTCTGTTACATCCTTGCTCTTATTGTCTAATGTCTGTTTTCTTCTATCGCCGGTTCATATGGCGCTGGGTCATTTAACGTAACGGCCATTGCAGGGCCGATGACCATGAATATGTGGAGTTATTTGCATTTTATTTTCCTGTTTCTATTTTGATTTTCTCATGTGTTCTTTTCTAAGACAATGCATCAGCCCGATATGTATTTACCATGGCTTTGATGTCTTATGAGTGATGACCTGTACTTCTGGTATGGCAATGTAATAATCTATTTATACTTTATTTCCTTCTACTTGACTGTCTCTTACAATGTATTCAGTATACATTCATCAGTATTGGACACAGGATCTGTTTACTCTACGGAGTATGCCTTTGGGCTTTTTATGCGTCCGTTTGACATGAATTTGCTTCGCTTCACCTTGATTTTCATCTTCTATCTATATTATCTGCGAAATCACGACCTTTCTCATCATTACTTTCGTAGGAGCCGGTTACTACCTATTTCGAATACCCGGTCAACTCAGAAGACTAGAATATCTGAGTCAAGTGTCGTTCCTCCCCGCATTTTCAACTCTGTTTTACCATGTTGAGCTACGTTGAGACAAGGGTGAATCCTCAGTCATTACGTCAAATAGGTTGCATCTCTGGCGATCAAAAAGGACTATATATCTAAATTTTCTCCCAATATACGCTCTGAAGTTGGGCAGGTAAAATAGTGCCTAGCTGGATATGAGTACAAGGTAGGAGGAATATGAACTTACTTATATGACGGTACTTTTGCTTTCTAGCCTTCTCTTATTTTTACCTTCCACTCAACACACCCCCCCCCCCCCCCCCC